GAAGAACTTTCCACACAATCTTCAATAGTTTCATCCGTCCCCATTTAGAGTACGGAAACATAATACTCCCCCCCTCACTCCAAAAGGATAAGGTCACTTTGGAGCGTATCCAACGGCGAGCCACGAAATCAGTTCGAGGACTCAAATCTAAGCCTTACGAAGAACGCCTCCGTTCACTAGACCTTTACCCACTAGAATATAGGCGTCTTAGAGGTGATTTATTAATGGCTTATAGTATTCTTAACACTTCTGGACATCCTCTTAAACACCTACTTAAGCTTAGTTCGAACAATAACCTAAGGGGTAACACCCAGAAACTGGAAACACAACATAGCAAGACGGAATGTAGACACAACTTCTACTCCTTAAGAGTTGTCAAAAGCTGGAACTCGCTGCCGGCCGAGCTAGTCCAAGCGACTTCTCAGGAGTCCTTCAAGAGGCAACTTGACCTATTCTTAAGGACCAAGGACAGCATCGCACTATGATTTACCAATTTCTTTTCCTCTTTTATTGTTAACATACCTAGGTTCCTGCCTGGAGGATTTGGTGATCCCCTGCTACTAGACACGGAAGCCTGTTAAGCGAAAGCTTCTTCTATTCCGTCCACAACCATTTGAACCATTTGAACCATTTGAATATATACATCAAAATCAGATCACCTCTTAGTCTGAAATAGGACAGAGTAAAGATTTCCAGCTTCTCATGACGTTCATTGTATGGTAAACCCCGGAGTTCTGAAACTGCATGGATAGTTGCTCTCCGTACTTTTTCCAGGATATCCAAGTCACCTTTTAAAACAGGTGCTTGACGCCTGAACGCCGTTCTCAAGCTTAATACTCACTAAAATTGTGTATACTGTGGTGAAAATGGTGGTATCTAACTTAGTGAATGTCTATCTTAAATATCAGTGGGTTCTAAGCCCCTTGGGTGCGACTTTTCGGCAATGGGATATGGTCTTAAGATCATGGCTGACCATCCCCTCAAGATCTTTGTAAGACCGGACTACGGGTACGGGCATTTCCCCTGTACTGTGTCTATCAACCATTTAATCCCTAAAGTGCATGTACACAAATTTTGCCGTGTCGATAGTCACCAGCCAGCCCTTGGACCGGCTAATCACAACATTTAAGTTTGCCTGGAGTGCTTATGCATTTGCATCTCCCTTTATTACTCACCATATTTTTACATTGTCAGCGTACAATAACATTGGAGACTGTACGATGCTTAAGAAATCACTTACATACAGTATGAAAAGTTAAGGATCTAGGACAGAACCTTGAGGCACTCCTCTAAATACTGGTCTCCAGGTGGAGCACTTCGAAATCACTCGTACTTTGTGCCTAGGAACCTACTAGGAAATTCTTGAGCTATTTAAAAAGTGGTCCGGCAATATCAAGATTTTCGAGCTTCAATAGTGGTCTATTTGTTGACACCTTATCAAATGCCTTGCTGAAGTCTATGTAGACAATATCTACTGAGTTTCTGCTGTCTAGTGCCTTTATCCAATGCTCCCTTGCTATAAGGTTTGTTGAGCAAGATAAACCCTTTCCCTTTCTGAGATAGCAATAACATCTTGAGCTCCACCATTTCATTTAGTAGGCTGCGAGTATTTGTGTAGCACACCCTTAATTCTGTGGAGAACTTTCCCTCAACACAGAGTGGTTTGGGGATCGTTTTGCTCTGAACTTCTACAATTTGAAAACCGTTAAGTACGGGGTTTCCTTCACCGTTTCGGCGGAGCTCATTTATTTCTACTTTTGCAGCTCGTCTCTTAATACGGTCAACCAGGCTGAGATCCTCACGGACGTACATTCCGGACACAATCATTTTACGTGAGTTTCCCAGTATCAAATTTCTTTCTTCAACCGTTTTAAAGGTAATCTTCAAGTGTGACTCTGAGTCACTCATTTACTTTATTTTGTCTCTTAATTACATCCTCTACGCAGCTCAGACTTATCTTCACCATAGTTTATTTTGCATTGGTGTGTGAATCCAGAACTGAAACTGTAGATTAACCACAACACCAGTCATTTCGCTCCCTTCTGAATAAGAGCTTATCTTCCACAGCGAGCACAATTTCATGTGTCAAAGTATTCAGTTTTAATATTAGTGAGTGATATATCAATCGTTTCTTCCATGGAATGTAATATGATGAGTGCAAAAAATGGTCCGACAAAACGAGTATGTTGTGACTTTATGAGCCGCTTGTTATCACGTAATCTAGTCGCCAATCAAAATACGACTTATTCCTTCTCATACTGTACCAAAACAATGACGTTCGACCGGTCTGATCGGCCTAGCGTCCTATTGGTCCGTTGCTCGCCTAGCCCGTCCAGTTGTGTTCAGAATGCTAATAACAACCTCCACTATGCTGGGTTTACATACCAAACTAACAGATTGCAACGCACAACAAAACAGAAAATAACACTCGTACAAAATATAGACAAAAGTGGCTGCGGACGTAAGAGACAGTAATTAATTAACTGAATATAACTTAGGAACAGTAAATCATGCAATAGTAATCTATTGGTCATAATAAAGCTTAGAATAAGGGGAATTGTGATATATACAATCTAGTTACTGAATAATTATACCATACGAATATATAGATAATATTGATCCGTTAATATGTCCCAAACGTTACTCGCAATTCAATCTTCATAAGGATATAACAGAGTACCATCTTAAAACCCACCGTATTCAAAATATGTTCAACTCCCATTGGCTAAGTGTGCTTTGCTGTTTGAATAAGACATGACTGATTCAAGAGTTGATTGGATTTCTGGTACTAGCCAGAAAGAAAGTTAGTGAGAGCTAGACTGACAGCAAAAAATCTTTCAATATAGTAAGCGCTGTTTCTAGATGACCCAAAAGCCTGTCTGCTGCAAATGCCAAAATAAGTTGATAGCTCATGGAAAACATATTTTGTGGTACATTGACAACTGTGTCAGGGGTTTAAAGACGTGCAGGTCGCCAGCCTTCAGTTCTCTGCAGTCATGATACAGTTGTACGACTTCTCTAGACCCAAGATTGGCGGTTTGGGACCTCTTAATTAATATCGCTTGTCGCTTGAATAAATAAGGTGGAATAAGTGGATCCTCTCAACCCTTCATTTTGACAGCGAAGCTCTATGCAAAAAAATAACAGGTAGGGTGCAGAAGAACTGATTAGCTTTGGCATCAAAAAATTTTTTTCCTACATTCATAACTGATTTCTCAGAAAGCCTATTCTCTCAAGTATCGGTAACACAAGTTAAATTATGGATAGTTTGAACATGAAGTTTCTTGTGGGAGCTCTAGAGAGACATGAAGCTTGAAAAAGTTAAAAGTATTGTGCATTTGACAACGCCTTAAACAGGAACATCTTTTATAATCGAAATGTGCCAACCCAGTCAAATTAAAGGTCAAAAGCAAAGAGTTTCAAAGTTTTATTTGACAGAATATCGTTATATCAAGAAGTAAGCAATCTAAGCTGGCTAGTTGTCGCAGATGGGAAGCACGACGTACCTAATCCTGATCTGGTACACATGAGTGACCGAGCGCCTTCAGCCAGGCGAGTCCATTAAAACTAATGCCGTAAGCACCAAATGTTGAAGGCTTACAGAGCCATTGATTTTGGAGATTTACTTGCCGTTACAAGCTATTTAAAGACTTAGCAAGGAAAAACTCCATAAAACTCGACTTAATAAATTACAGCACGTTATTCACTCACTTCAACACAACGTAACAAATAATTACGTCATTTGAAGTCATTGACCCTCTCATGCTTTGAACGCTTTACTGTTGGCCGAAAATATTGTGCACTAGAAGCAACTACTGAAGAAGCATGACTAAAATCAATACCATATCTATTCTTAGTGGTGTATTTCTGTTATAACGTCGTCTGTCGCACAGTCGCAAAGATAGCTGTGGTACTTAGTTACAGTGAGAAAGTGATTCGCGCTAGGTACTAGTCGTTAATTGTGACTTCGGCACAAACAGGTTGGTCACGACTTTCCTGCACCTAGTTATTGACACGGACAATCTGCTATCTCTAAATATCTAAACTGGACCAAAGAACAAAAACACCACATAAATGATTACAACATGCAGAAAATGGCAAAATGTAGTGCTGGGACAAGAGAGTAGCAGTTACAGCCACAAGTTACCGAAAGAGTTCAGAACCTGTGAATTTACGATTACAGGGCGGTACTCCAGAATGAAATATTTCACCTTTGTAATCCTGAAATTTCAGCAAAACCAGTATTTAAGCACCAGAAATTCACAAAAAACCTGAAATCAATTTATTTATCTCAACCTTCTTGAGGTTATTGGACATTGGGGGTAGCAAGTGATTGTTTTTATTAGTGTTGTTATGGTACCAACTCAGGGTAAAAATTAAACTGAGGTCATATAGAAATATTGGTGTAACATTAGGAACAGTAAAATAGAGATCTTCTATTTACAAACTATTGATTCTTTACCTAGATGGGCTAGCACCTTTGATTCGATGACTGTAGTTAGTTGGGTGCTAATAAGGCAAATAATTTATTCGTATATCACTCTAATTTTTTGGGACCTTTGAACGAGTCTCAAGCGACCTTGAGAAATATTAGCTAATCAGGCAATACTCATACCATTTGACAACTGAAGTCTCAGCAACATCTGAAAATGTTGCAGCCAGTGTTGCTGGTTCTGTTATTATCCAATTTGCGACAATTATCATAACTTTTATTAGTCTCAATCGCGATCGAGCAAAGAAAGCTCCCATTCGAGCAGACTTCTTTCTCCAGTATAAAGAACATCAAAAGACAATGTCATCATGATGGTCTAAACACGATACTGCAGTCATTTAATAGCCGCAGTCACAATTAAAGGAACTTCTTAGTGGTCCCATCCGTAGCTACTCATATGAGTAGCTACATGAATAATATTAATCATGTCTTCTCTAAAGTCCGCTGTAAACCGATCGTACGTGAGTACCAGGTACTGAAATTGACGCTGTGACCCAGAAATCCCTCAAACCCTTCTGATTGCCTCGTCCACAAATTAGAGTCACGCCACATTTACTCGAACGGCAATCCCAGCCATCTGACCAAGTTACACACTTGAGCTGTTATCCCGATATCAAACTTTCTTCAGTTATGCACATACATAATTGCTGATTGTGACCGTTCCTAGTGCGTTTTTGTGCTAACTGAGGTCTTGACTCAAGTGAGTCGAGTACTTTTTCAGTTCCTACAGGCAACCGGTCTTAGTAAAAAATGATGGCAAATTTAAATTTCTAAAAGCATATATTGTTAAAATTTGTTACGGGAAATGTTTGCTGATAATAGTGTTCCTAGTCAATTCTATAGAGTTGACTATCTGTAGATTGACTGGCCGCCCAATTTCGGGGAAAATTTTACCCGTTTTGGGGAAATTTTGGGAGAGCCGCTACAGAAGCTTCTGGAAAATGGCACAAAAACCCCAAAATAGGGAGATTGGTCGGAAAACCCTTTCCGGGGTAAGTTATTTTTATGGGATCACACAGGATCTAATATGCGTTAATTGAAACAAAACATAGCGTAGATGCATTTTTTCTACCGTTACTTATAACTGTGTAACCATTAGCCTCAAACTTAATTTGTTGAGCTCTTTCAATGTTTTGTTCTAAATGCAAACATTTGGTTGAGAGAATATGTTGAATGAATGACTTAGATATTTTAACAGAACATATCTCTCACCTTTTGATATAACTCCACGTTCATTTGTACTTTTCAAAATTACCTGAAACTCGCCCTCGCTAATTAATGATAAAATTAGTATTTAATCCTGTTTGTCAGAGAGTTTTGAGAGCTACTACTATGTCACAGAGAAAGAAAGATTAAACGTACGTACGGTGAGTGCATGATTGATCAGCATCAATGTTGAAAACTTACAGAACTATTTATTCTGAGGATCTATTTACCGCTGCAAATATGAGAAGTGCTTTTAACTTTTGATTTCAAGAAGCTCAAATTATATCTGGGTCTCCTGCGTGAAGTTCGATAACTTTCATTTTAGTGCTTATGCATCATGAGGTTTAATGTAAGTTACCGCTCATTCCACCCTGATCAGGATTTCAGCAGAAAGCGTGTAATAAAACATTGCAGACTATATACCAGTTAAATACTTTCACATTTTCCTTTCGAGCACATCTTATAGTTGTAGGTGCAAATGTTTGCTGCAAAGAAGTCTTTAATTTTCCCTAAATTTCTCAGAAATGTTCAGATTACTTAATTGAAATGGAGAAGGCAGGTTTAAAACATTATGTGGCCCATAGTTCACCATGATTGCTGTAAGACCATGCTAAAACGGTGAAAACCGTCGCATTTGGTGTTTTTTGACTAAGGTCAAAGTATTTCCCTTCATCGATAAAAGTACGGCAAATCGAACCAAATAAGTAATTGATGACTACAGTTATCAACGGTCCAAATATTCTGAATAACCGTAAACATCAGAAAAATGTATGAATAAGATAAAAGATACAATTTAATGAACGCGAAAGAGAAAACAGTAAGAAACCGTAAATGTGTGATTTGTGTTGTTCGAAGCTCATCAGCAGGGTTTGTCTGAAATGCTGGTAAATTATTAATCCCCGTCTCATTTGGATTCACATCATCCAGTGCCACAGCTAATGACGTTGCTATTAAGGTATTCGAGTAACAACTGATGTCCTTCAAAACTGAAATTTTCACAACTATTGATTACTGACGTTTGACGGATGTTCTATTTGTCTAGTAATCGGTGGTGGTTGAATTCAATCGACTAACTTACTACCGGCTCGAGTTAATACTAAAAGGTTTATTCTTTAAGTAGGTATGGTAACATAAAGAATTTTAGTTGCAAGTCTGAATTGATTTTTATGATACAGGCCAGATTATATGAATTATTTAGGAGTTTCATTCATGGAAGTTTTGCTTTGTTTATACAAAAACAGATTTGTTTCTGAAATAGTTCATAGAGCCCATTTTATTTTCATTATAGAATTTATTTACTGTTTAACAATGATGAACAGATAGTTAAATCCTTGACAAATAATTTGATTTTGAAAACTGAATTACGGTACGAAGTGATACTGAAACAAACACATGTCAAATTACATTAGCCATCAGATTAAACGTCCGGATATTGTGAGAAGAAATCAAGAAGAAGCACAAAACTCCACACTATACATTTTAAAACAGTATGGACCAACATTTTACTTGCTACAGGACGTTTCAAAGCAAAAATATAAGGTGGGTCTAAAATGCTTTAAACCTATCGCATTAGGTACAACTCGGTGATGTTCATACTTGCTCATGTGGTGACTTTACAAAAAATCGTGAACTATGTGTTCATTTATGCTGGATATTAATTAGACGATTCAAAGTAGACCCAAATAATCCTGGTATATGAAAAATGTTACTGACTTTTGTTTAGTATCTTGGCAATCTGGATTAGTTGAGCGAGAAATATCAGCTCTTTTAGACGGACAGCACTCAGCAACGAATAATGTCACAAATTCCACTGAGCCTAAAGTTCTGAATGAGAATAAATTTGATGAAAAGGTATGCGTATTAAGTATTTTTAACTAAGTTAGACTTCATATAACCTACAACGCCCAATTGGAGAAAACGATATTTGCCCAATATGCCAGGATTACCTTTTTTCTCAAGTGCGACTTCCAGTAACATTTTGCCGTAAAAATTGTGGTAACAGTCTACATATACGATGTATGAAAGTATGGACAGACTATCAAAGAAAACAAAACCCTTTAGGTAAGCGGACTTTTGAAAATTGTCTCGAAGATAAATTTTTAGTTTTGAGATAATTCAGACTGAAATTTCAAAGCTGTAATATTCATTAATTATCAGATTACCAGGTTTTGTGGGAGAAAAATTACTCGTGTTTATCAATCGCTATCATTTTCAAGGTCGTCAAAAAGTATCGGTGTAATAACAATAACTAGGTATGCAACTATGAAATCATTAGTAATTCTGGTCTAGAAGAATTTTCATACTTGCTTTGTAGAATTTCGCATAGAGTGCTTCAGAGATTGCGTGTAAATCAAATTTGGAAATAAAATTAAGCAAATAATCTTTAGGTCCAATCAAATTCACTAGACAATTGATAATTCTGACTTTTTGTATGATAAAATTAGTTTAATGTTGAAAAGAATAACTTCCGATCTTATATAACTGGCAACACATATGAGGCCTTTCTTAAAAAAAACGGAATGCTTGCGTGTGAAATCAATTACTAGTTAGATGTAGAGTATATTAACAAATAAACTTATTTTTATAATTCAAAATTCTTTTATAAATTTTCGGGCAAACTTGAATTACTTAAAATTGTTATATTGTAATACAGTTTACCATAGGTATACAAAATGTACCTTAAGCATGATGAACTAACTTGTAGACAATCCTCAGATTACTTTTATGTACCCAAATCACTGCTGAATTTACTTTAAGACTTTGTTTTAATATTCATTAGTTTATTGAGAGCTCTAACTTAGCACTGATCAACTAGCAAAACCAGAGCACAAAACGCATTTGAACGTCAGTTTATAAAACTACTATTACCAAAAATATGTTCATTTATTTTTAGAGCAATTAGTTCCTTTGATAAATTTCGATAATGCAATGAGAAGACGAAGTTTATCAGAATTATGTGATATACTTGCGCAATACATTGCGAACAACCTGATCACACATATACTTGTTAAGAACATTTATATATTAAAATTAGAAGGTCAACTAGACAGGTTAAAGGTAAGCCATAACAAAAAATATATAGTACACAAAAACAAATGTGATTACCACTCTGGATAATAAACCAGTATTATCAGGGTAGGTTAACTGTAAGGACAAATTGTTTTTGAACACATAAATGTGGTTTCAATTTCCGTATAGCCAAGGCTTCAATAAACCTTAGTATACGTCCTTGAAGGCTTTTGTATAACACCACAAATGCCGACTTGACGTCAACCTTATGGCCAGTCTCATTCAAATGTTCCACAATGGAGGATGATGTCTGCCTATCCTGTGATCTTATTTGACCATTGGAATCCATTTGTTGCTGCAACTATCTTGGTATGTGTTCACCCACCTTTAATTGCAAATCAAGATTGCTCCTCCCTATGTACGTGTTTCCACACATACATGTAAATTGATAGACACAATGGGATGTGACACAATCGTTTTCGTGCTGTTTGGGCTTTTGGTGAAACATAGATCTTGTCTTTTCGATAATGACAATTTGGGCTGCATAAAATATCTAGTTGATAGCTAATTTAAGTCTCTGTTTCAATATGAGACTATTTGTGTCGTCTCTGAATGGTAACGTAATGCAAACTCGCTTTTCGGGTGCCAGAAGCGTCATGGGTCTAGTCATATTGCAACCCTTCTAGTGGTTTATGAACTTCAATGTATAACCATTATTCAGTAACGTATCAGTCAAGAGCTTCGTCTCCACTTCAATAGTTGTCGAATGTAAACTGAATATCATTTAAGCACATAGATAGTAAGTGTTTGAACTTTATGTTGATCGGTTCAAGATTTCAGAGTGCTAGCAGATAGTATTCATGGTTTCACCAAGTGATAGTTTAACGACCATTAATGTTATATCAGGGAGAACTCTGCACTTTTCGCACATATGTGGTTCATTTTGCTACTTGACAAACTCTTTTTTCAAAGTTTGTCCAGCTACTTGTCGTTAAACAGGTTCCTACCTATAATTTGTCTAGCAGACACACTATTGGCAGAGCATATTAACGCACTGATAGTAAAGGTGTTGCTAAAACGTAGTTTTTATGAATCTTCGCTTAGCAATATGCAGGTATTCACTTTGAAATATGTAATAAAATGAGCACGAAGTATGTGTATGCTTGGAGTCTCTTTTGTATCCGTTGAATATAATTGGTTAACTATGAATTATAAGATGCATCTAGACAGAAATGAATGAAGTATCCATTGTAAAGTTCTACTTGTTAATAATATTGCATACTATTATTATCAACATGATAGCAAGTAGTTTATGTCTAAAGGATTAACTTATTTTCGTATTTTTATGCCAGGATTAATGGATTACGTAAAATGTCCTATCTGTCGAGGGGATTTTGCACCCTTACATGTTCTTATTCGGGAATTTACGGGAAATGTGAAAATAGATACTAAAAAGTCTACTGAACCTAAACATATTCACAATATGACCATTATTGGTCAAGCAAACGATTCACAGAGAAAACTGAACATCGAAACAATGCAAACAAGACATTTGAATACACGATGTTTATCATGTTTATGCTCGCCAATATTAGGTAATATTTATCGTTGTGAAACATGCTATCAATTAGGACAAGATGAAAATTTAAATCCATTTTTATGTTCACTGTGTTTTCGTTCTAATAAGCATTTACAACACGGTCTATATGTTTATAGAGAGGTATGATAGTTTTAATTATGTTGATATAAAATTTTTTCTCGCTAATTTAATTGAAACTTAAATATACTAATTTAGTGTTAATTAGGTAGTTTTATGGAAAGTTAGAATAAGTTGAAGATGATTCCAGTCAATAAATAATAAAAGATGTAGAATAGTTGATTTTAACTAGTGTGATATTTCACTGAAGTATTATTCACAGCTTCATATAAAGTCGGAGACAAAGGCTTTAACTGACATCAAGATGGACTTTCCAAGGTTCTAATGAAGAGCCTTGACTTATAGGACTGACCTAGTTTTAAATGACTCTCTACTTGATGATACAAATCTTTGAATTGTTAAAAATTTGTTAAACAAATGAAATTTTAGATAAAAAAACTGGTTATCAATGGATATAATTGATTTATATTTAAAATAATAATTAATCTCCATGACTGTTAGGACTTCAGGAATCCAGATCTGTAATTTAACTATCACTAAATAGGAATCATTGTCAAACTGGATTTTCGTAATAGATGAAGTGTTATCATCATTTAAAGGTTAGTTTGATGGACAGATAAATCCTTGTTGCAAAATGTTTAACTTCCACTGAATTTATCCATCTATTTATTTCTTGAATAAATTGCAGGAAAAAATGAATGAGTTTATTTACCTGCCGACCACTTGTAATTAATTTGTTCAATGTTTTTTGAAGCTGTGCTTATTAAGTGTACGACTTTTTACTACATTTCGCACTGTACTAGTTATATACAAAGAACATCGGATAGCTGCCAATTGAGCATCAATGAAATGAAAATATGTTGTTTGTGTTAGCTAACTTTTCAGTGATATTGAACTGCTTACACTAAACTAATGAAAAGAAGATAAGATACTGAATGATTAAAAACTTCAACACATTATTAATATAAATGGAAATTAACCTTGTATTAAAAAAATCATTTACTATGTTAATTTAGCTATTTGGTTCTAGTTATGGTAAAATAATAGTGTACTAACTATTGCAATGTAAAACTACATCTTACAGATAATCAATCATATGTTACTGTGGCTGAGCTAAAGGACTACACTCAACATGTAAAGTTCAAGAGAAAGGAGAATTAGCAGAAGTTGAGAATGTTTACGATCATATCTTCATTCTGTGCTTTAAAGATAACATATCTTCTTCAACATATACGTGTCCTGAGCTCGTTTATATCTGTTTTGGTTGTCGGGCATCGCTGGACAGTCAGGAGATAAGATGAAATAAGTGTCTAGTACCGATGAATTTTCTTCATTTAGTTTCAGTCCATTATGGAATTCAAACTAAACCTATAAAACGTTTATCGACAATATTAATGGAACGTGACTATGTTTTCTTTATAACGTCTAGGAATGGTTTTTTATATGGAGACATTATTATTGGATTTTATAAGTTTCTAGTTAGGTAGTATAAATAAATAGTTTAGTTACTACTCCAGTTGTTTAAAACTAAAAATAATTGGTGGTGTAGACTGCCGTCTCCTTTTTTGATAACATATAATGTGGCATGAGGTTGGCGGCTGAAAACTTGTTCTCTTAACAAAAACACTTTACAGATTGGAACGACCGAGGATTACTGATATAGTTGAGTTTTTATAATCTTGCTCAGGTTTCGATTCATGATTTTCATATTTTCAATAAATATTTTATATCCAACTAATTAAATAAGACAAGTTTCCAATTTCGTCCTTAAGACATCACACGGAAAATGGCTTGAAGTACCACCTAATCGAGGTGCTATTACAAATCTCTCTGGACAGTTAGTTAGCAAAGTTCAAGAAAACAATAAAAACCTTCAGTCAAGGTATGTTTAATAATGGTATTGTGAAAAATTCCTTTGTATTACTTTACTGAAGGAACAATACGCTTGAAAATGACGCACTTACTTACTGGATAATCGAGGAAGTTGGGTTCTTTTCAATGAATACCACTATTAAAAATATGGTAGTAAATATTTATGGCTTAGAAAAAATGTTAAATAAATTTCGTATACTTTTTGTAAAGTTATTTATGACAGAGCTTTCAATAATATATTAATCTTCGTTGTCAATGTAACTTTACATAAGAATTTTCACAAAATACTGAGTCTTTTCATCTTGGTTGATTGAGTTTATTTTTTCTCAATCACAGACATGTTTAGTAATCTGTAACCAAGCTTCTTGATAAATTCAACTGCGTTCGTTTAGTCACTTACGATAGTGTGGATTAACACAATGATTTTCACTGGCTGATCGCTTTCGTTGGTTGGAATTGAATCAGTTCAGAATGGATGATGAATGTTTTTGTTTATGTTTTACATTTTACAGTATTCATCATATTTTCAAAAGTGGTGTGGTATGGAGTTCATCTCTTTAGAGTTCTTTAAGTATTCTTCTACATTTTCGGTTCACGAATAATGTTCACAGATTTGAGCCATCGAAATTCAATTATTCAACCAAACGCAAATGATGTAAATTTGAACTAGGTATCTCAGAATACATTTAATCGCATCGCGTCTTCTGAACTACCTATAAACTTCATTGTTTAAAAGTTGCCTATAATTGGTTTTGATTGCTAATTTCCTGTAACGTATCAATTTAACTTCTGTATGTAAAAATTTCTAGTCCCTATCATAAATACTTATCATTTACCTATATGGTGAAGTAAACATTTTCTTAACTATATTTCATCTATTCTTTTAGATAAAATGATATTATTTCACTTTAAGTCAATAGATACATTAAATAATACCATGAAACAATATGAAATAAATATATTACAATAATACATTATTTATTATTTAAACACATAAATATTGGTAAAAAGGGGCACCGAATACATATGCGCTACATAAGTCACTTGATTTGTGTGTGGGCTGTAATACTGCCCGGGTGTCCAAACCAATTTGGTGGTTTTCTTAGGGGGACACACGCTAGCCTTCGACCTAAAGGTCTAATCCACAAGGCAGTGGAGCAACGTTAGAAAATCCAGTCCAATGGCAGCCGGTGGCCAACAATTAGTTCATACTCCATTTGTTCCCTCAGGATCAAGGAGCCCATGTACATCATTGATTCGGAGTCAGGGTTTTTCAGCCTCCCTAGGTGGGTCCTCCATACCTACCAACCCGGTTAAAGTACCGGACATTCGCTTTTCGTCCTCTCAATCTCGTAAACGACACACACTGAGAGAAGGCAGTGAGTAGGAATTCTCTGGCAGTGGTTGTATGCACGTGGCCACTTGAGAGCGTTTCGGGAGAGAGAGCTGACTCTCCCGACACTCGGCCGTGCCAGGGCATTTTGGAGCTTAATAGATTGACTATAAAAGATTTTTGTCATGTCTCTTCCTTAAAACTTATAAATTATTGCTTCAATATCATGTTTCGAAATATCGTTTTTAATGTAAGATAATATTATTTGGTTTCTAAATGGAACTACTTTAGTTTTTTTCATCATCGTTTCAGAAGCCATAGAATCCTGAATTAACACTTAAAATGATTTTGATTGTGTATTTTTTAATTTATTAAGCTCAACAGAAAAATGCAACCATTTGTCAATTAACGAAGAATGGAAACCTCTTCAATTAGCTGAATTAGCTCAAATTCGTCAGTGGACAATTAGAATTCCCAGAAATCATTCTGATTTCATTTCATCAAAACCGTCGGATAAAGCAACTAATAATGATAATAAAATTAAGTCTGTGAAAGGAAAGTCATCGACAAGTTCTAATTTATTTCCAGAGCGTTCAGGGACATCATTCTCGATGGGATTGTTATCACCAGGTCGTCAATGCCTTCTTTGTTTAATGTTCTTTAAAGTAAATGATAAAGTTAGACAACTGTCACCTGGCTGTCAACATATTTTTCATTCATATTGTATTGATCCGTGGCTGCTTCATAAGTGAGTTCGTCAATTAATGGTATAAAATTTAATTTATACGAATCATAATTTAACTGTTGAAAAGAAGATATGCAGATAATATACGTGTGTATCAAAAAAAGAAACTTTTATTTTCGACGAGAACATTTAATAATTCTGGATAATCATACTTATAGTAGATTGGTTGAAGTGAGACATTAACACTGTTGGCTCAGTGGTCTAGAGGTTAATTGTTCGCGCGCGAAACCGAAGGTCTTGGGCTCGAGTCCCACTTGCGGGATCGCGGATGCGCACTGGTGAGGAGTCCTATGCTAGGACGAAACGGTCGTGCAGTGCTTCCACGCTTTCAATAGTGTTCTAACATTGATCCATTCATGATATCGACCTATTATTCATAGTTATTTTACACGCAGTAACCTGCTATAAAACAGACTGGCGTTAGGTTATTGGCAAAGTGTTTGGAAATTTCTGGTATCAGAAAAACGTTTTATGATGCTTTCAAGAGTGATAAGAAGTAGTAAAATGGAGGCAGTTTGTAATTGAAGAGTGTAAAGGTTCTCTGACATTGTCCTTTGAAGAAGGTTGTGCCTGAAAAGTTTATTAACATCTTAAAGACCCTACATACAACCACCTCAGGCAGAGTGAGGGCATACAACCACCTTCCTCAATTGTCCCATTCAAGCAGTGGGGTTAGATAGAGTTGCCCAATCTCACCATTCCTCTTCAACTTTGCCATCGATGACATTCTGGAAACAGCTCTGATGGATGTAAGTAATGGCGGTGTGGATCTGTTGCCTAGAGAAAGACTTCTCGACCTTGAGTATGAGGACGATATTGTCTTACTGTGCGACAATGCCCAAGGCATGCAATCCGCACTTAATCAGTTGGCAATCAGTGTCCGTAGGTATGGTATGTGCTTTGCACCTTCGAAGTGCAAAGTACTCCTACAAGACTGGCAGGATTCCAATCCTGTACTCACCCTGGATGGTGAGCAGATAGACGTAGTCGAGAAGTTCGTGTATCTGGGTAGCTGCATAAGTGCTGGTGGGGGTGTGAGTGATGAGATCAATGCACGTATAGTGAAAGCCAGAGTGGCTTATGCCAACCTGGGCCACCTTTAGCGCCTTCGTGATGTCAGTCTAGCTGTAAAAGGTCGGATCTACAACGCGTCGGTGAGAGCAGTCTTGCTCTATGCTTGTGAAACCTGGCCTCTCCGAGTTGAGGACGTTAGAAGACTCTCTGTGTTCGATCATCGCTGTCTCCGAAGGATTGCTGACATTCAGTGGCAACACCATGTCAGTAATGCAGAGGTTCGGCATCGTGTGTTCGGGCACAGAGATGATAATGCAATTGGTGTCACCATCTTGAAACACCGACTTCGGTGGCTTGGACATGTTCTCCGAATGTCGTCCCAGAGGATTCCACGTCGTGCCGACTCTGGGACTGGTTGGAAAATAGCGGAGAGTTGGTCAGTACATGACATGGTGTCATGGTATGAAAGAAAGCTGAGAAGGACTGGCTTGTGTTGGTCCTTCACGACTCCCTGACTGGGGTTCGAGAGATGGTGCAACAGTGGCTAGAGACGTTATCAGATATGGCTCAGAATAGAAGCCAGTGGCGATCCTGCTGTAACCTTCTTTTACTTTCTTTGTAAAAAGTGGTTGTATCTTCCTCAACTGAGAGAATTCTTCCGATTGTACCTTTCCGTTTCCTCCATTATTATTATTATTACACTACCTTACACTAATCTGCTGTCGTTATTGTTTTTTTTCCTTATACGCATCTTACCTTCTTTTTTCTCTTCCCATTCTCATTGTTTTGTGTGGCGCATATGTATTTGGTGCCCCCTTGTACCAATATTTTTGTGTTCAAATAAATAAATAAAATAACGAATTTCAAGAAGAAAGTCAAGTAGTAATGTAGTATGCATATGGAGATAAGAAGGCTTATTGTTATGATAGTGTTGGAGTGATCCAGAAAATTGCTTGCAAAAGACAAGCAAGCATCAGGAAACACTAAGAAGCGTTTCGTCCAATCAGCGTTCACTTGAAGTTTTTGCCAAAAATATCAAGGAAGCGAAACGTCACATGTAGAGGTTCTGATTGGCTGGTTGCTGTACTGCTACTATGTTTAGTAGCATTCCAGAATATTATAGCAACTCAAGGACATTTAAAATATTATAAAAACCCTGTATTTCCTGTATTAAAGTGAACCTTGGACTAAACACTTCTCGCATACTTTAAGTTTTCTCTCTCGTGTTCAGGTCACTGTATAGTTCTAGCTTGGGGGTTACAGAATAGCTTAGGAGACGAATATAGCGTTCGATCCGCAAGATAGAATGAAATATCAAACATGTCTCTTACGAATGAACTCACGAACAGATTATGGCTCTCTTGTGCATAAGTTTCTGATACACCTTTCATTTGAATTCAATTGTTTGATCTGGTAGATAATTTTAAAACTTTGGATTACACTGCATAGCCAGAATTGATATATTGTTCAAGAATCAATCTACTAATTGGCATAAGTTATCTTTCTAATAGTATTATAATTTGTAGCCTTGTACCCTAATAATATATAATGTAATGATATCGCCAATTAGAGAACAGTGATTTATCAACTGGACCAATGATGCATAAACACCTACGAGCAGTCTAGAGTCTTTATCGGTCTTTCTTCCTACCTAGCCCTGCCTGTTGAGTCCAGAACACCAATCTCAACCTCCGCGATGTTAATCATGCATTTCAAACATACTGGTTTTATATACAAATCAAACAGACCACATCGTACCATAAAATAGAAAGTAACATTTGTACAAGATCTAGCCAAAAGTGGTTGTGAATGTGGGAGACTGTAATTAATAGATCGTACATGACTCAAGAATGGTAAATCGCATAATAATAGTCTGTGGGTCAAAATAAAGCTTATGATAGGGGGAACATGAATATACGTAGTTTAGCTACTTAACAATTATACATTAAAAATATATGTATCGTATTGATCCATAAATAGTTCTCAAAAGTTACCATCCGTAATTCTCGTCAGGATATAACTAATAGGCAGATAGGTAAATGCTCACGTATGTACATGATTTTTCCATTCGATACTTTTTCCCTACAAAGCACAAGTAAACTAAATGCTTATCTAGTTTGACGACAATAATTAAATCTGAATATCCTATATTTTTCTGATCACTTGAATGCTTTCAAAGTTATTGGTTTGTAATCAAATAGGGTTTTTTGTGAATATTATAGTAATTTAATAGTTGAATTCGTTAGTCAATTAAAGCTAGACCACAATGGAAAACCTAGAATCGCTGGATAGACGTTTTTTTCTTAGTATGGGGCTCAGCTGTGCGTACCCACTATCCCGCTCGCGGGATTTGAATCCAGGATCCATCGCTTTCGTGAGCGAACGCTTAACCTCTAGACCCTTGAGTCGACATCCAACGGTGTTGATGTTTAACTTCAACCAACCCACGGACTTGCGCGACCATCTTCCATTGTCTGAAGTAGATATCCGTCTCTACCTGACACCGTGGTCTAACATTCATCGATTCATGATACCTCTAGACCACGATAGAGATTAGGCGCTCGCTCGCGAGACAACACTGCTCACTGCTGAGGAGTCCCATACATGGACGAAACGGCCTTCCAGTGCTTCCAGGTTTTCCATGGTGGTCTAGCTTTAATTGACTCATGGATTCAACTTTTAAATTCTTGGTTTGTTTTTATTCTTTATCATGTTAGGTCATCAACATGTCCGATTGATAACACACCTATTCGTCCTATAAAAACAATCGATAAAAAATCATCGACAAATCGTACATCAAGACAAAGAACTGATGAAATGTTGACTGACAATTTGAGTGAATTAAAAATTTTTGCTAAACGTATTGAAGGCAAACCGAAAATTAGAGCGAACCCTTCTCATAATAACTTAGCGAGCACTGGGGATTAATTTCAAAGAAAAAATTAACTTAACGTAAGTCATAATGAATTTATGCACACGCACAGAAATATCACCCCAATTGACCTTTTATACAAGGGTCATGAAAACGAATCTGTTTGTATTGATGCGAGCCTAAATTAACATAACACAAGTATGTTTTATAGAAATTCCTTTGTATATATAACTGGATAATGTTTTTTTTTGAACAAATTTTATTCAAACTGTAGTAGTCCGTAACATCAGAATACTCTGATACCCCTAATTATAATAAGATTTGAATTTATTATTCGCTGCATTAAATAGTAGATTATTACTGACTAGACTGCTATATTATAACATTTTCCTCATGTTTATACAAAATTTGCTAGCTTATGTAGAAATAATATAAGGTTGTTGCTGGTGTAATAGACTGTTACACGTACGTGTACTATGCCTCAAAACTTTTATCTGCATTAATTAGATCTTTACACCGGAAGAAGTGTTAAGAATGACAAATATGTTTCAATTAGATTTTCTATGATCGTCGCTAGTAATATTGTGGTGTGTACTACTTATATTGACATAAGTAGTATATGATGTTAGTCGTAAACAGAAGGTCTGGCAGCAGAGAAACAAGAGGATCGAACAGTAAAGAATGGAAATAAAATTCAATTTGTATGAAAATGCAAGAACAATGAAGTCTGAGTCATTTTGAGACAATCGGTCGACATTTTGCAAATTAGGCATTTACTTTATGATTGTTAGATTTTATTAAAAAGTCCTGTAATTTTGTGTTAAATACATTCGATTGTCCCAACCCGTGTTCTGTTCACTACAATGTCATTTCTTCTAATCACTAGTTGTAGATACTTTTAAATTGTTAATACGTTAATAATTTCTAACTGTAGTATTTCCCTAGAAATAAAATGATCTTAACAGTGATGTACCTTAAGGCCACTGTTTACAGACTAGTATCATCTTGTCTAGTCAATAGTGTTAATCCTTAATCCTATCAAAATGTTTCTGTTGTGGATAATGGTCATTATGATATAACCACAGCCTCAAGGAATCTGAGGTTTCTGAGTTATGCTAAACTCATTTATCTAAAAACCATGTTGCTTTCTTAAATCGCTTATCTTACTGGCTACAATGTAACGATTCATATAAAGAAATTGATTGAGCATTTAACAACACAGGTTCATTCATTATCCAATGATCGAATGAAATGTAAGATTACATTTCACAGGGATACTTGACTACACTATAGACATAAATTGACTCGAAATTTTCAGAGTAAGAAATGAGCATGTGGTGTCAGCAGTCCCTAATTTTTTCTACATTTATTAAGTGGATCAACACAATCATTTGTTAATAGTAAATGGAGAAATTAAAAATAGAAAAATGATCAGTGTGTAGTGATTATTTGGATTTTATGCAACAAACAATGTGGTAGATGTATTTTCTATAATCGTAGGACAAAAGTTGACAGTCTTTCTGTGTTTATTTCATCATATTGAAATATGTCTGTATTTTTATTGATGTTAGACCACCATTGAAAACCTGGAAGCACTGGACGGCCGTTTCGTCCTATTGTCTAACATCAATCGGTTTATGATCTCAATCAAAACTGAACAATCTCCACAACCCCTATACTGATGTCTATATTTTATAAATTATTTAAATAAAGTTTTCATTATCCAAAATGTAATGTAATAGAATGTTTAAAGAGAAAACAACTTTCTTCACCTCATATGTCATTCTTTATATCAAGATAAATATGAGCATCTTATTTTTCTAGCCCATGAGATTAAAATGTTTGATTCACTACTAATAAATTAGTCATAATAATAATAATACTGCTTATAATTTTCCGTCTTTTAGCTATCAGCTTATAGGAGGACAGAACCGTGATTGTGCAACTTGCAAATAAAATACATATGAAAATTGAGGTATTAAAAAGTCGTTCAAATGAAATTTATAATCCATTTAAAGGCAGAACACTATATTATTTAAACCATGTTATTATATTGACAAGATGCGTTTAGTATCAATAAAACTACTTTTTTTACCACATGAATATATATTACTTTACTACTGAAAAAATTGTTAGTAGCTTGTAGATTTCGAATGTAATAAGTTGATCTTACATAACTTAAAAGTTATAGCTAAGATTAGATATTTCGAGATATTTGTGAAACAGAGTAGAATGTATTAGGAGTATCACTTTAAATTTAGATTTAATCGTTCAATTAAAATAAACCAATCAATATCTTTTGTGAGGATCCTGTGAATGAATTCAGCATTTGGTTGACTATTTCCGATTTTTCCGTTGTAATTATTTCTTTCTAAGTATAAAAAGGTTTCATTATTCTTATATATAGATATTCATTTCACTGCTGCCTCTCTTATTTAATATTTTTATTTTCTCAAATATCAGTTCAGACTTAATTTTGTGACAGTTTGTATTTGTCTTATTTAATTGAATATATCATCTTTATTGTTCCTTAAAGTATTTCTGATCATGAATTCCGAATAGATTTTCTGCATTTTGAAGAAAATTTCAACTTTTTGGTGGAGTTTTGTTCTCTGAGCTCCACTATCTCAAAATTTCAACTAATTTACCTTTGAGATTATTCGAAATCGATTATCGATAAATAAAAAAAACATTGACAGCTGAAATAGATTTGTTTTCCTTTTGTTTTAATTTTGATATGATTTTAAATCATTATTCAATATCAGCTTGTATAGAGAGAAGTTTAACCTTCTTTATGTGTTATAGTTACACGAGAACGTATATTTTCTTGTATAATTTGAAATGACATCTTACAAGATAAAAATATGATAAGTTATTTATTTAGAGATAACAATATAAAATGAGTTCATGTTCATGAAAACTGGTTCAGTTCATACTGTTACATGAATCAACCTCAATCAATGAATATTTCTTATTAGATTTTCACTGATACGAATTACAGTCAGACTTATCATCGCTTTTCATATAGAAAACATAATTATATTGTTTCAGTTGATACTTATTTTATTAGTAGAAAGTTTCGTTAATTTTTTACTTCATGTGCAGTATTGAGTAGTTAACTTTATAAAAGTGAGAAGTCTGGTAAGATATTATTATTTTTTATTTCATTTGATGTGATGAAAGGCTTAAAGATAAGCATAGAAGGTAAATTTATCTAAGAAATAATCAGAGAGAAAATATAGCAGTTCTTCATACACAATTACCAACCTTTTCAGGAAAGTCGTGAATCAGATGTAGGAACAGGCTAAATGCAAGGTCTATTCCTTTATATTTTACCATAACTGGGGCAATTCGGTCATCAATGTACTCATGATTCAATACATTAATGCCTTCTTTTTTACTAATTATAAATTCAACCTTCTTATTCTCGGAGTCACTAAGATCAAGGTTACTGCTTTAAAATATGACATTCTCGTCTACTGTTATTCTGGGCGATGTTCTCATTCCCATTAATATCGTTATGTGGTATTTTCGTCCACTTATTTGGTTGACTGTCTGATGACGTCTTTACGCGGGACCCATCTGTTTACTCTTTCATACACCCCTTAACAAGCCACATGCTAACAACCATTAATCTATAATATTTGCTTTCACATAGTCTCTGTGAACCTTAAGTGCAGTCATACAATTCGGATGAAAAAGCCGAAACTCATCTGTTTTGTACCTGTTTCCATTCTTGTTCTCTTGAAATAAACAAATTAAAGACATTGTAAGTAGTCATCAACTTAAGTGATCAATTCAGTAGTCTAAACAGTAATACAATACTTCTATTATAACAGAGTGTATTTTTCGTTACAAAAGTTCCGTCTACTACAATGTTTGTTCAAGATAAAGAAGGAGACTAATTTTAAGAGATTCGTGAGTTTCATTCGGATACCAATTTTGTTGAGGAGTCACATTCATACTTTGAAAATTAATCAAAAGTTACTACATTATTTTGTCTGAAACATATAGGTGTTTGTTAAACCAAATTAGAATTTAGTAAGTGATAATTATTCTTTATTTGACTTCATTTTGCCGAATACAACATTAAATCAGGAAATTATGTGAAGAAATTCATATTTTCATTGTTAAAATTAATCATTGTGATTCAAGTTTTGAAGAGCTACTTTCATAATTTGCGAAATTTATCCTTACTTATTATACATCACAGTTATGAATCATGTGAATATTGAGTCGTACACTTACTTGATTAACTTTGCTACCCCTCGTTTCAGGTCCGTGCAATGAAACTGTTTTAAGATTGATGTTGATTCTGACTTTGATTTTGAGAAGTTTAGATATTCTTCCATTATAGGAATGTTGCTCTTGCTTTAACAATTCATACTTCAAAATATGCGTCCGACTCATTCTCATCACTGTTGCTGTCCTGGTAAGTAAAGGCTTCCACCAATTCCATAGCATTAAGATCAAATCAGGTTTAATTGTAGCTCACTGTGTTTTACTTTGGAATCTCAATTTTGCTTCTGTGAACGTCGATGCTTATTTCGCAGATAGTTGTTGCTAGACTGGTTGTCTTCGTCTGCATCTGTCATTGTGCATATGATAGCAAGGCTGTCATTTCTGAAGTTCAAATCACTCAGGTGTCTCCTGGTTGTTCACCATAATTCACGTTTTCTTGGATGTAGAGGCCTTCATTATCTAGTCAAGGAAGAAAAAGGGCAAGAGTAATCACCCTTATTTGAAACCGATTTTTCACTTGTAATACATCTGTGGGTTTTCCTCAATTCAAGCATTGCAATTCAGCCCCTCATTAGAGTTCTGTAAATTCTCTAAGTTGGGGGCCCATTGAATTGGGAGCGCTTTGTTGAGATTTCTGCACGGTAGTGTTATTAATTTGATGCCTTGATAATTCTCTCTACTTTTAGCGGGATCTCTTTCAGGTATCCCTCTTACAAGTCTCGTGCTACTTATTCTTTCTCCCAAATTTTTATGGATTGTACTTTGTGCATCTTTACAGTTGCTTTAGCTGGTCCTACTGAAACTATGGAGTTGGCATCCCTGGTTTGTAGATTGGTCTTGATAACTTCTATTGCTGGTAAGAAATCACTCACAAGGAAGTCTATGTTTGCTAGCCCAGTATCCAGTGTTCTCGGCGTCACTGATCTATTCACTCACTCTCCATGATGTTTGACCCACCTATCATACTCGTCCTGATTCCCGGTAATCGGTTTGCTTCCTTTGTTCCTGACTGACCACTTCAGCTTAACATATTTTTCTACTGGCTCATATTTTCTTCTCTTGCAGTTTGTCCTGTTGTAGTTGTCATGTCTTCTACGTATTTTCGTTTGTCAACTAGAATGTTCTTGACTCGTTCGTTTCTGTATATTCAGAATGTAGTTTGACTCGCTGTGCTTTGTTAAACTATGGGTGACTGTTGTCTTGCTGCTTTTCCCTCTTAAAATCATCGCTAGACTGTCTACAGCGGTCTATTGATTAATATTGTGCTGGTTGGGTTTCAGCACTTCGTGACAAGTTGAAGTTATGGCTTCTTTAATTGTTTTCCAATCGTCCTCTGTCATGGTTTCCTCTTGTTTGAGTAGATACTGCAAGGTTTGAAACTTGTTGATGAGAACCATATTGAATTTACTGGATTTACTATCATCTGAAAGGAATGCCGTAACAAACTTTTGTATTACTACTTCGCCAACTGTTCAATGCTTCTTTGGCCTCAATTTTACCTTGGCCACTATCAGGTGAAGATATAAGCATATATCAGTCCCCATCCTTGTACATACGTGCTCAATGGACCTGAATATTTTATTTATGAAGACGTGATTAAGCTGGTTTCCCGTATTGTGGTCTGTGATTTGTGGATACACCTGTTGGATAAACTGGTGCCGGCTTAGTCCACGTTGTTTAATGTTAGGTTTTTCATTAATTTAAGCGTATGTGTTTTTCATTAAATAGTCTATTAATTAACGAAAATTGAGTAAGGAAAACGGAATTTTCGTGCGTTTGTATGGATGCAGTAAATGAATAAGGCTCTTTCGTTCAAAATTATTTCTCTGTTTCCTTAAAACTTTAATAAAAGTAATGTATCACTGCCTCTGAGAGTTAGTATTTTGAGACATCTGGTAGACCCGATCCGTAATCAGGGTAATATATCAATATAAGTGATCCTCTGTTCATGTTGTATACCTATTCTGCAACCCTCTTTTTGTTTAATATCACAATCAGATACCTTTGTAGGATTACGTATTAATACCAGTTATTTGACATCTCTTTAATAGATTTTATATGAGTTCTTTCATTTCTTATGATTAGCGGTATATCCATGCAGCAAAAGGTTTTTCAGAAGTTTTTGGTCAGCAGAAAAATGCATTTAACTTCAACTTTCATCAAGTTATAGATAATTTTTATCTTGATAACCTCTCGGAATGCGAAACTCAATAATATGAGCTGGAATCCATCAAGGAGCATCAGTTTCCTCGAAATTGAAGTTAGTTCTTGCTAAATGGTAATAATGAGTTCAATTTGTAAATCTACGTTTTCCTGTAGACGATTAGCAACAACCTAAGCTCAAAATATAATTCAGGTAATATTTATTCACTAAGACTAGAAGCCATATTAGGACTTGATAGATAGGATTTGATCTGCATTAAAGACTAGATGAACGACATGATCATTTTATTTAATCTGTTTGATTTCCCCATGCATAGACATAAATTAGAATTAAATCGACATGTTACCACTAATATCAGTGAATGTAAATAACCAGTGACATAGTCTTAATGGAAAAGTGTCAAAATTTTTGATTATCCTAGCTCGACCATCTTGAGGCCATCGTTTCATTTTGATCCATCCATAATTCACCATTCAAATCAGCGGTGAAAGTTTTAAACAGTTTGAGCTTCAGCAAACAGAAGACTTGAATCACACTTATCTAGGTTTGATGTAATTTTATATACTGTAAATATATCTTATACGTATACATCATTTATTATTTGAATATGTAAGTCTAATGGTTTATGACAGTAAATTTTTTTGACTTAAATTTCCCATTGGTATGCCTTAATTATTTTACCGTTTATTTATGTTCACCCCATCTGATATTATGAGAAAAATGAATGAAGAAATAAGTATTAATTCATGCTTGATTTGTTTGTTTCTTACCACAGATTTTAGTAGATTGTAACCAGAATAAAATGGAATGATACGCTTGAATTAATCAAGAATATATCTGTAATGAGTTCCTTTTTTTCCTCAATCGTGGCAATATATTTTATGTAAATGTTTTTTATTTTTTGTCCAATGTCTATGTATCAGTATAGCCTATAAAAGTAAAGATTTCCCTCAAAAAGTCATTTAATAGACATTATATCAATAGAGTAATTATAAATGCAAATCTACTTCCTTTCCCTAAATGTATGATCGCTTGTTTTACAAATGACTCCTTTCACAAATATAGATAGTTAATATAAAAGAATAATTATTCATATCGTTCAGATAAATAATCGTCATAAGACCATTCAGTCCGTTAAAGCACTAAGTCTGATTTTCACTTTGATGACATAAACGTTGAAAAGCTTTCTTTCTTTTTAAAACTATTATTTAAAATTACAATGACGTTATTTAAAATCCATAACCAATGGAGTTAATTCATTCAAGGAATAAGAAAGTTAGAAAAGATGA